CCCCCCCCCTCCCCAACAGTCAACATCGTTAGGACCCCACCCAACTGCCAATGGACCAAAATTCCAGATAAGGCCATCTATCGTATCTTTACTGTTCCTACCATGAAGTCGTCTTTCGACTACTAATTAACACCACCTGTTGTCCCTTTCCTCAAAAAAAAAAAAAAAAAACACTACCTGTTGTCCCCCTACAATACAAAAGCATGCAAATGTCATCCCTTCGTCCAATGTACGCTAACGGACCTGTTTATTGACCATTAAGTGAAAACCGTCACACCCGGTTAGGCCCTTTTTAGTTTTTTTCTTTTGTCACATTACCTTATGAACCCCACCCTTGCCCCATCATCTTTCTATTTATTTTGTGGGAATCCACCTTGAACCTGGACGAACTTGTCCTGGCCGTGAGGCGGACCTCCACGGAGAGCGAGAACGTTCTGGATGCCATTAGACTTGATAGTCCCAAACGCGTGGTCGATCTTCTCGACAGGCATGTTGGTACAGGTGAGATGCATCATGGTCTCAACAAAGATGATGTTCTGCATCTTGTTGGCAATGTCGAAGGTGAGATCAGCGGTGGAGCCACCGGTTCCCCAGGTGATGTCGCAAAATGCAGGATTGTGCGCCACCATCCGATCCATCCTCTCGAACAGGTTGTCCACTACATCCTCAGTCTTGGGGGGAAAGTACTCGAACGAGAAAACGACCTTGTTTTGTTCCTCCACAAGAGCTCTGATCTTATCTATCACCTTCATCTTCCTGCTCCGTCGGTCGGATCTGAGATTCCGGGAACAGAACCGACAGAGAGGATTTTGAGATTTGGAAGGTTCGAAAAGGTAACGAGGAGTGATGCAGTGATGGGACTTTTAAATGGGAGTGAGTGTGGCTGTGATTTATCGTGAGTGCAGTCGGGCAGTGTGCACACCAACTACAGCGATTCTGGTTCTGGGAGCCGATTAAACTCTACTTACCTTGTGGGAAGTCCAGGCTAAGGCAAAAAAATTTGAGGAATGCTAGGAGCACTCGCTCCAACACTCTCCTTTTGGCAGCCGCTCATCTATTTAGCCATGCACGTTGCTAATGATTTTAATGCTTTAACTGGTAACGGGTAATTGTAAGTAACTAGCTAAAAGACAAAAAAGCCAAACTAAAAACTAAAAGTCGGAATTATCATAAATAAGTTACATTCACAAGTAAAATAATAATCTAAAAAAAAAAAGATAAATTGGATGAAAATTTATTGTTAAAATTTAAGGTAAATGACGGGTTATAAACTGTA